ATAAGTAAATGGGAATCTTCTAGTTACTGAATTTTGGCCTACACTAGCTATTCTGGCAGAGGGTTTTAAAGCCTTTAACACCCTATGTTCGTAATACAGGGGTTGGGGTAATTCTTTTATATCCGGCGCTCCGAAATTGTACCTGTATCCGCGTGTGCAGCATGTTGTTCGCAAGTGAAGTAGCTGCCTCAACATGACAGGTAATATGTAGTTGGTCATGATGATATCGATTCGTACTACACTATGAGACAAGGTGCAATGTGCTAGTTGCTTTCACCTGTCTACATACGATAATCCTCGTAAACTTGGAATGGGCATGGTAGCGAGGTGTTGGACTCGTTGGATTTGTGTCCTACATTGGATGGTTTCACGGTGGGTTGGTGAGTCGTACTTCAGTATTGACCTTATGATAGAATAGAAGAATCGAGCGGCGACTTCTTCAGATCAATTACAGTAAATCCCAGTCATTTCCATCCAGTATCGCATTAAAACTGATGCAGTGGTCTAGGCAGCGTGCAAAAAACGCATCGTCTGTGGTATAAAACGCCAATGAAACCATTTAATCAAATATGCCTGAAGCAATCACCGTCAGCCCGATTGCAATAAGCACGGTTAGGGCCTCGTCTAATCTCTAGACCGTTTCGAAAATTCAAAATGGCTTTGACACCAGTGGTGGTTGGAACTTGTTTGCTGCCAAAAGTGACTGGAAAGATAGATCTTCGGCCACTCCTGCTTGACCAATAATACATGAAGTCGATGAAGCTGTAGACAAACAGCCTCTATCGACTGTATACAGACCAGCTGGTCGCTTGACCTCAATTAGAGTTGCACGTAGTATACCAGCGGTAATCTACACCAACGTTCCAAAATCGAGGTCGAACTACTTAAAAGGAAAACAATTCGATGACGTGAACCAGTGGAACTCTATATATGACACAGTAGGTGTTATTACTAGGCCCGTCAATTCGACACGCGTTACCCTTCACCTAAACTCACAGCACTACGGTGAAGCAAAATTTCTCCGAGTTGTGCTGACTTCTGCCAATGAAGCAGAAGCTGTTATGTTATCGACAACTCGCTTCCGGAATGGGCCATGTTCCATCCACTTATTCTCCGATAATGCGTAGAGCGAGCGCAGGCAGGCTAAGCACTACTTGGACCAAAACCGGAAGGAATTCGTGGCCAGGATCAAGCTTATGCATGGTGTTCCCGAGGCTGGAAGCCATGATGAGTATGAAGCGAACACTCACAACCAGGAGCAATGGCGGTACATTCGCGAGACCCTCTCCCTGGAAAGCGTCATAGCGTAATCAATCTAGAGGCTGCGCAGATAGTCAAACTACAAAAGCGGTGGCCTTAGGATTGCGCAATTGGTCCTTCAATCTAGACAAATGTAAGCAAAGGTAGTGGAGAGACGGTATGCTGGCCGCAGCAGCCTTCCTTCTGAGCTCCGGGTCAAAGCAGCATCTACTACGCAGACACACGAGAGCAGCCACTTAGCCTGACCTCTTAGCGACAAGAGTTTGGGTAACTTCAATCAACCAGCCAACGAAAATGACAAAAACAGCCCATACATTATATACCAAGAGATAAGCAGTGGTAATGTTATGATCCATGAATTAGACACAGATGAGTTCGTCATCTCTCCACCCAAAAAAACGATTAGTTGCCGACCTTTTGCCGATCGGCACGACATTTCATCCTAAGCACCCATCCCACTATACATTATTGAAAACAGAGAAACATTCCTGCATGTACACCAGTGCACATGATCTCCTGAACATGCATTCCGAACCGCGACTACGTCAAGCATCACATGTCTGGGACCTCAAACTTCTTACGGAAACCTGGTTGCACTCAGAAATTACCGATTCCGAAGTCGCGATAAATGATATGTCTCTTTTCCGAAACGATCAGCCCAGCAAAGGCGGAAGAGTAATGTTATACTACCGCAACGACCTGCGGTGCGAACCGGTGGCTGATCCGGAAAAGCGGATTATAGGCTCACTCTGGTGTAGTCTGCAACTGAGACGCAACGACACTTGCCCTTTGGCTGTTACTTATCGTCCCCTAATATCCACCCCAGAGATGGACCCCCGCCTGGCATTATATATGTGTAGGGACTTACGAGGACGGTACAGTCATGGTCTTATCTCAAGTGACTTCAATAATCATGATTTCTAAGTTCCGACACTGCCAACGAGCTGTTTAAGGCCGACCTGCAAGAGTATATTGCAAGCATCCCGCTCTTCAGCCATGTCAGTTCAAGCACCCAATTCAAAGCGGGAAATAAACCATCTGTGCTTGATTTAGTGTGCGCGAACAAAGAGCTCATGGTTGAGAAACCAAGGCTGGAGAGCCCTCTGGGACGAAGTGACAACGTAACCATAATTTAAGATTTCCTGTGTTATGCGGAGTATCCCCAAGAACATACTAACTTGTTTCGAAAAATCAACCACTACGACATACTGTCAGAACTTGTGAGAGATGCCAGCTGGGAGTTTCCGGACAAGTGTTTCATTGCCAGTGCTTTGTTGGATTTTACTGGCAAGTTTAATGTTGGCGAACAAGTCAGCGGATTAGATTTGACCCAGCAGCGTACTGACGAAGTCACCTCGCTTGGTGATGATACATTTGCATCCCATCTCCGTAGCTCTGCGAACAAGTGAACTCAGGAACGATCGACCCGAGTTACCAGTGCATCAAGTTATTTTGAACCGTTGTAAATATTTTGCTGCCTCTTGTACGCATCTTAGCCTTTGGAGGAGTTGGAGAGGAGGGATATGTCCTAGAGTTTGGGTCGCCGCCACCGCCGCTGAGCCGTTTTACCATACTCCTTGTCGAACCAATGGGGCTTGACTGGTCCCACTTTCCGTTACTTCAGTGGTTTAAACCGAGAAGGAAGTACTGTCACTCCCACTTTTATAAGATTTCCACAGTCTCCCACAAATATAGCCTGTGCCAGTGCCCAGTCCATTTGGTTTGTAGCTTGAGTTAGGCCGTCAAAGTGAGTTTTCCAGTAGTTGTAAGCTGACTCCTGCGGACGAGAATACGGTAAACAGATACATACCTGCTATGAGTACTGAGTGGTCGCTTGCTGTTAGTGGGTCCATTATCTGACCTCCTGTACGTATTCACTAGCTGTTAACATCAAGTCCAGGCACGACGGATTTGAATGCAGCGTTATTCCTGTCGGCTGGCATATGTGTTGCGTTGCTCCACTTCCAAGTACTAGGTCCACCAACTTTGGTTCGACATCACAACGTCCGGGCATGAGTCGAATTTAAGGCCAGCTTATTCGAGGACTATTGAAGTACGTTATGAGTAAGAAGCGGGAACGACTATTGTGGCTTCGGAGAAATGCTAGCCAACGCATAAAATGTTTGAGGGGGTCACGTTAAAATACACCCAACAGCAGTTCCTCGTGCCTCAGAAGGATCGAACATCACAGATGCTCACAGAGGCAACCATGGCCTCTGTAGACGCTGATAACTCTCCCACAGAGGAAAGTCCGGTTGTAAAGCAAGACGAAACCGCGTGCAGCCTATAGGCTATCCCAGCGGAAGCGTGAGTAGCCATTAAGCTCAGTTTCCTGTGCACTCAATTCAGAATTCAGCCACGTACGTAGGAGTCCCGACTAAGTCTGGCCGCGCGTATGCTATGAAACGACAGAGTTCCTCGCGCTTGTCGATACGACTGCAAGAGCTGGTAAAAGAGGTACGAAGGCCGTAGGAATAGTCGTGCACCTTTCCAGTTCATGCAACGTGGTGACCATATGCTCATCAAACTAGGCATTTTCATTTCCTAAAGCGTTATCGAAAGTGTAGAGCACTCCGAGGCATCGACCGCAAGCCAGATCGAAATTATGATACTTTCAAGTTGACACGTACTCAACGTATTGATTTGAACTGGTCATTCCGGATAACTTGGTTTATTCATCTTCCAACTGACTGTGTTCTGTCATGACAGCTTGCATGCGTTTTGTCATTGGTAGACGAATTGAGTTACTCATGCACTTGGCTCCAGTACATTGTGGTGCACTATGTTTGGTGGCGCGCAATTATACCGTTGATGATGAGGCAACTAGATAGTTTCTGTTGCTGCCACCTTCAACATTAGCTCCGGAAAGTTGTCAGTGTTTGTCTGGGAGTAAGCATGAGGAGCCCGTAAGATTTTCCAGCTTGAAATAGGCGTAGCCTGAAATACCGCTATACGTACGCAAGGTGAAATATTTCACTAGTTTTGCTTCCTTGTTATGTGCTTTGGAGGAGATTAGATTTGCTCACAGTCATTTGTGTCACTCGTCTTCGTCGGTTATTTTTACTAACTATTGTGCTGAGGGTGTTCGATGTGGCACGGATCATCCGCAGGCTTTTCTTGGAAACAGTATTGGTTGGACTGTTCTCACACCATAGAAGAGAACAAATCCGGAGAACAATGACGCCAACTGCCACTGTCTGTCGATTAATGGCAGGACTTGTGAGTTAATTTGGCTGACGTTCATGTCCATGATAGCCACAGGCACCTACGCTATGTTTTGCAACAACCAACCACTCGTAATTTACGTCTTTTATGATATGGGGAGATCTTATAGGCGATGCTTTAAAGCGCAATGGTTGAATTTGTAGTTGGTTGCCTAAGTAACGCTTTGTACTCAGTCCAACAGCAGAAGACGCGAAAGTGCTAGTGATGGAACAGCATAGATGTGGGTACGAACACGCCAGTTTTCTTTAAAGAAAATTCGTGTTTGTGTAGGGTAACCGCATTGCTGGAATTACAGAAAACAATCACTAGTGATGCAGTTGGCGTTGTTCGACTCCGGTGAATCCAATAGAGCAAAGATTGCGGTGGATTCAAGTCACACAGTTTGTAGCCTATGCTGACCTCCTGGTGAATTGTGCATACTGGTCGACAGTTTGGTAGAGCACAATGGAACAAGTCTAAAGGTAAGCTGGTACAATTAGTTGCACGCCAAACGCGGGTGTGAAAACTTGGGCTAAGGTCACCATTCGCAAGCAATTATATGATCTGTTTCGCAGATCACTTGCACCGTAAAATTTGATGTCAGGTATTATCTACATAGACGAGAACGGAGTTAAATTTGACGCATCTCGCATCTGTACTCCAGATTGCACTAGAAGCATGATCTGTTTCAGAGGACGTAAATCTACCTTATCCAGGATACTATTCACCGTCGTTGTAGTTGTTATCTTCATCTATCTGTTCCAATTAAGATGGATGACGCAACCGCGCAAAGTAGTTGGCCCGATTGTGCACGCCGAGGAGGAGCAGTTCCCACTCGCTTTCAGCATCTTGATGTACACAGATCTTGACCGGACTGTCCGACTCATGCAAGCTATTTACAGACCCCATAATTGTTACTGCATTCACGTGGACAGGAAGACCGACGAAAGTATACACACCACGCTCAAGCAGCTCATGCAACAACTATACGGGGATACTGTATATGTTATTCCACGAGAAAGGAGTATTAAGGTGGAGTGGGGTTGGATTCATTCTCAAGATGCTGATCTACTGTGCAGCCGCATTCTACTTGATCGTTGTTCGCAATGGAAATATTGGATCAATCTAACTGGTCAGGAGTTCCCCCTGAGAACCAACTGGGAATTGGTTCGGGCATTGACCATACTCAATGGGTCGAACTTGATTGACGCCATATACAAACGTCGAAATATGGACCGGTTCCCACTGCACTGGCGATCCGGCTTTCCGGTAGGTTTTGTCGACGCGGTTGGCACATATTTCTTCGTGATACATAACAGGAATAGGGTTTTATGCTTGGTAATTTGTCTTCTGGCCACAAGTGAACCTAGCCTTTTCCTTTCTTCTGAAATGTCTCAAAGTCCACTTGCATGTTACGCCGATTTTGTATAGTTTTATCTTCGAAGAGGAGGTCGATTTTAAATTAAGAATTACAATAAGGCTTATCACAGTTGCAACCAGCCAGGTGCCCATCAAAATGCAGAAGTACAACAGATGACTGTCATGCACTTTCGAGAAGTTTCGACATCTGCGAAGCGGGATTTTGATGAATTGTTTCTGAAGTAGGGCATAACAGATTCTGATAGCAATTAACCTCAGGTATACATGTATCACACATTTGGGGGTGCAATAGAATAATTTCGCATCGTCAGGAAACTCTGTTCCCTCTAGCATTTGAAGTGGCAGAATTCTACAGGCCGCTTATTTCAGGGCACGATGTAATGACTGTCATTTCGAAGACTGGAAAATTAGCTGTGTTGTGACACGATACACCTTGCACTCTCAAACGTGTAACTACAGGTAACGGACTAGTGTCACAGAAACAGAATTACAATTCCAGTGCCCTGAGCCACCAATTCTCTAGATCCAGACGTGACTCACTAATTCCAAAGGATGGAGAAAATATTTACGTTAGATGCGTTTGGGTGAGATGAAACCACCTTCCAATTCGTTTCCTCAATTGTCTTGCTTATCTGACAAAGCGCAGTTGTATTTTATCAGTTTGAAGTTGTTAAGTTACTGAGAGCCGTTCATAAATTTTGGGCCATAATTTCATGTATTCATGTAATCGCGAATCTGCTCAATTCAAACAATCGCATTACGCCTTATTCACATGGTTTGCTCGGCATACATCGTATGACAAGATCGTCGTCCATCGCGTGTGACACCTGGTTGTCAAGATCCGGCTAATGTTCGTGCTGAGTGAACATAGCGTGCATCTTGGATGCCTTATACCTCCAGTGAGACTGATAGCGCTTTCGTCAGAGGGGGAAAATGAATTCTTAACAGAGTTTGTAAGGCAAACCGACGATTACATGTCCAGCACTTGGGACGAGGAGGGAGCAGCGGATCGTGATACAGTTAGGAGCCCTGGTACTAAAATGCTACTGACATGTCATCATCATCATTATACATGTCAGCTAGAGGTGGGAAACACCTCAGCTACTCTGCCGCAATACATAAATGAAAAGAAAAATAATACAACAGTTGCACGCCAACTGAGCTATCAGCAACGGATAGGCATCGATCCGGTAAGCTACCAGCCGGCTAGTACGCAAAAAGAAACATTATTATGTTTTACGCGCCCATCTTAGGGGCCAGGTTTCGCAACCGTACAGTAGGGTCGAACGTACCGCTGCATTGTACACTCTATCCCTCAGGGCGAGAGTGTTGTCGCGCTGCCGCCATAGGTGGGGATGGTTAGCAAAAACATTTCGAGCTTGTGCTATACGGCTCGTGATCTCGTCTTCGATCCCAAGGGCTCTAATACAACTTCCCAGGTAGTTGCATTTCCGAACGACTTCTAGCTGATCTTCACCAAGAGTCAGCGCAGGAGGCCATCCTTGCCAATCTTGAAAGAACGCTTTGCATTTCGTTGGTGCAAAGCAAAGCCCGAAGCGGCTGACAGCCAGTGCTAATCTGTCCAGCGCGGCTTGGCACGTCTGGGGGCTGTCACAAATGAGGGCAATGTCGTCTGCATACACCAACTCACGAAGTTGTTCTCCTGGGAGTAGCTCCAAACCTTCAAATTCATGTCCTGTAAATGCATTCTCCATGGCTTCGTCAGTAGCGAAGTTGAAAAGGCAAAGTGACAGCGGACATCCTTATCTCACATCGTTGGAGATATTGAAGGGTGGCGCCAGCTTGCCGTAAGCCCTCACTCTGTCCGTGCTACGCGCGTATAATCCTTGGATAATATTTACATAGTTCTCGGGCACACCTTTCCTGAGTAGATAATTCCAAAGGGCACATCGATCAACCGAATCGAAGGAACCTTTGATGTCGAGGAACACGACTACGGTGGGCCGCCAATATGTGTGACTTTTCTCCGACAGCTGACGCAAGGTAAAGATGTGGTCGATGCAGCCACGACCACGAGGAAACCCGGCTTGCTCCTCACGAATTTGGCTTTCACAAGCAACAGTAAGTCTGTGAAGAATTATGGAGGCGAGTAATTTGGAGGCAATGAAGATCAGACTGATTCCTCTATGGTTGCCGCATTCCGAACGCGATCCTCCTTTGAAGATGGGAACAATAACGGAGCGGCTCCAGTCGGTTGGGACAGTTTCCTGCTCCCACAGTTTCACTATTAATTCATGTAGTGCATCAACAAGAGTAGAGCCTCCGAATTTGAAGAGGGCTGGATGAAGAGCATCTGATCCCGCGGCTTTGTTCAACTTCAACAGTCCGATTTCACGTTCAACTTCTGAGCGAGTGGGTGGATCCAAAGGGACAGCCCACGGAGCAGAGCGATCACTGGCCGGCGAAGAATCTAACAATTCTAGCCGATTAAATTGCTTCTTAAAATGCTTAGCCCAAAGCTCCAAACGTTTTGACAAATTGTGGATAGGCTGTCCACTCTCATCACAAATTGTTTCACTAACACCAGGTCTCCTGCTGCTCGTTTCCAGTATCAGACGGAATAACTTACGATGGTTGCCAAGGCAGCGGCCCATCATATCTCGGAAGCACGATGAGACCACCAGGATTCACGGTCTCTCTTCAGGCTAGCACGGAGTTTTGCCTGGAGATCTTTGCGAGTTTCATTGTATTCGCTTCCAGCCGGAATATGCCGGCGAGCGTCGATAAGTTCCCGAGACCGAGAAGAGACCCAATGTCCATGTTGGCTATTAGACATACCACATGAGCATTTGCCCGCTGCTAGTAAGGTCTGGCGAACATGTGACCAGTGACCATCAATTGTCTCCAGTGAGCGATTACTCAACTCGCATGTAAGCGTACTTCGATACGCATTCAGAACAGCTAGCATTGTCAGTTGACTGGTGTCAGTGCGCTCAACATCGTCGTCGTGGGCGTCCGCCAAAACGCATCCGCATGTCAGCACATACAAGTGCATGATGGGTGTCCACACATGTGCTCCAAATCGAGCGACAATTCTGGATACGGTCTCACCATCGGTAACTTATCGCAACGTGATCGATTTGCGTCCATAGCTGGTTCGAGGCTGGTGGGCGCCAAGTCACCCTCCGGCGGGTGCTGTTTCGGAAATTAGTGCTCGCAAGAAATAAGCGAGCATCTTCACACAAATGAAGTAACCGCTCACCGATATCATTACGGGAGCCTATATCGTGCTGGCCGCCCAGATGCATTTCATCAGTGGACAACTTTCCAACTTATGCGTTCATATCCCCCGACAGCACAACAGTGTCCGTGCTTCTTCTGTGGAGAAGGAGCTGAGTCAGTTGGCGGTAGAAGTTGTCTTTTACCAACTCATCGTTACAGTTTGTGGGCGCGTAGGCAGCGATGATGAATAGACACCTATTAGTCCCGCGCGACTTCGAAGCTTTAAACGAGCCAGCCAATCGGACCGAACACATCCGGCTACTGATTGGAATCCAATCAGCCAGAGCAGCTTAAGCCCGGAGACTCAGGGCAAGGCCAACACCAGCTTGGCCGGTGCTCGAAGCTGCATCGTCATTGGATAGGCGCACTGAGAAAATATTGCTTGCTTCACCTGAAGGGAATCGCAGAGTGAGCACAGAGCTCGAGACTTGCAAGCGGGTCTCTGATAAGCAGCAGATATGGATCGAGAGGGTCTCCAATGTTCGGGCAAGTGCTGCCTGTTACTCAATCTGTAGCAATATGCGTACACTGAGGTATGCCAATCTGAAGGAGGATCGAGGGCTCCAAATGGAAGCAGATGAACTGGGCTTGACCGTTTGGTTGGACATGGGCTTGTCGACAGGGCAGGAGTGAAGCTCCGCGTTTGCAAGTTGAAACTAGAAGATAAACGCTTAGCAAATCATGTTGAGGAAGGGCCAAGAATCGGGGGTTGAAAACTGGGGGGTTAAAGGGAAGTTGGAACGGGACGATAAGGGTGAAAAAGCGCAAGAAGGGGAATAAGAAGACGGAAAGGCTTGCGCAGTAGCATACTAACCCCTATCCACACTGCCCGATGCAGCAGGTAGGGCACCGTTTATTATCCTCTGCGGCGGCCAGAGCATCAAGAAATTGTTTGACGCATGATTCAAAGTATTGCGTGGGCAGGATACTGTCGGGTTGTCCAGGTCTAGACAGGAGAATGATTAGGGTTCTCAACCAAAGCCTTTGGTTCAAAAACCTTACCGCAAGGCAGCGGGTTTGGCGTTGGGATACAACAAGTCCGTTTTAAGTAATAAGGTGCCACCCTCATTCCAACCCTCAACCTGGAGGATAAGGAGGCTGAGTTTGTCTGGCCTCCAACCATTGACCAATCTGGTATGAGTGGCTCTGAAGGTGCAAAAAAGCACTACCCAGCATAGGTCAATGGATCGCTGAGGCACACAAACCATCGCACCACGGTAAGGTCCAGTCTCATTGCGATGGCTACTGACGTGTAGGTTCTAGTGTTGTGATTTTCAAACGGTTTACCTTAGACTACTGAATCAGTTGCTTGTATCGTACTCTCCTTACTTGACTGAGTCATTTACTGATAACATCTGCGAGAATAGTGATTCCGTTTCATTCTCATCAAATTCAAGCGAACGAGGGAAAATGCGAGTGTTTTCATCGCCTCAGAAATCCATCATCCGAAAGAACAGAGCACTCTTAAATCGATGGTTAATTTGTCGATTAAATCCGAAGCCATGTCGTCTTTGTTGCCAAAACGCCTCTTCGTTTCATTGAAGAAGTCATTTTGATACGCTCGTTGTGTCAACGGATTGAGACTGGCATTCACAACGAGTACCGCAATTCGGTCACCGAAACCGTACCTATGTGTTTCAAATGAATCCCTCCAACCAGTCATTAACCATTGTGATAGGACTGCCAGATGAAATTCGGTGGCGTCTGAGTAGAGGATGTAACTGGTATCCCATAAGTTCCTAATTCGAGTCACAGCCGTGTTATCGCCACCTGATGACGGCAAACAATTTCGAGGCTGGTCGGGCAGCGCAATGCGCGGAGCTGTTCTAAAAATTACCTTCAACTACATCAACGTGTAAGTGGAATCGCCTTCACTGCAGCGCTGTAAGTTCACCCCTGCAACAGTGGACGGATATCGTCTCGGTATTCGCAGCATCCCTGTTGTCTAACTAAAGCATTTTATACCTTGTTACTCCAGTACAAAGGTTAGCCAACAGACTCGTTTTCATCGGTTCATCGTCAAGCTAGTACATCACGAATGAAAGACATAAAGGTAAACAACAGATGAGGGTACAATTTCAAAGGTCAAAACGGTCTGAGTGATCAAGCTACGTGATTGATCCCACAGCGATCGGTGGTGTGTGTGTGTGGTGTTATCCACACCGTGCGTCAGCATTACAGGGAGCCAGTTAGAGTGTGTGCCCGGACACAATTTTGCACACATTGGTCAGGGTTATAGAGGCGAATGGCGATCGTCTCGGCCACTGCCATTAGATGACATCTAACTGCTCGTGTGTGGCATGTGGGTACGCGATAGATAGGACGGAACGCTTCGTGCACTTTGACCTGGTGGTTCACATCAATCATTGGCGAAGACACTGCTGGGTTAGTCATTCCGCTATACAGCAAAATTGCGCAATGTTCCTTTGATCGCTCGGACGGTCTCTTGATAGTCCTTCTGATATACCTTGATCAACCCGAACACAAGAATGTGTAAACATAGCATAAAGTAATTGATTTTGGGATCCTGTCCGTAAGTTGCTGAGTCAGATGTGATACTGAGTCTAATCTTAGCCTCAAGCTTACCGAATAGCAGGTTTGACCGATGACCTGCGAAAGCTTTCTCGATGTGGATTCCATTATCCCGTCCCCTTGGGACGGTAGCGACAAGTAGACTGACTTCTTTCCCATCGCTTTTTCGTTACAAGAATTGCTGTCCAGTTTTCAGGTCACAAGCACTTGATATCTGAAAGCTCAAACTGGAGCTTACCGACACACTTGTCTAATCTTCACAGTCCCAAAGTGAGATGTTTAACGAGTAAACAGATTTACCTCCAATCCTTCTCACCCACAGGTCACGTGGTACAAGGGAGTCCCCCATGTCGTCGCCCGCCGTGAATTTGTACACTTTATACATAACGACGAACGCGCCAAGCTCATCCTGCGAGTACTGCGTGACTTTGAGCAATCCAAGAAGCATGGCATTTTCGTCGATGAAACTTATTTACCCACCCTTAATCACAATCCGGCATCTATACCAGCACCAGGCGCTTTTCTAGGCGTGCATGAATCAGACATATTTACACCACCTATCCGAGTCAAGGTATGGTCCGATCAAAATATGCCTTGTCATAGTGGCAAATGGGTCAGGACAATCTGCATGCTGGGATTGCGCGACGTGGACTGGTTGATGAAAAGACCAGAATTCTTCGCCAACAAATTTATTCCGTCAGTAGAACCAGAAGGTTATACTCTAATGGAACGTTGGCTTTCCGAGAAAGTCGAATACGAATCTATCAACGGTAAACTGCATCCATCGTTCAACACAACACACTACCTTTCCCTTGAATTGCGGTGGAATCATTTGTGAATGGTCTGCTCGTTTTGTATTCACACTTCCGCCACGTTCCACCGGATTACGCTTTTGCACACTTTGTTTTCATTAAGGCATCTGCTTCCCCCGTAGAGTTTGGACACGATATGTGATTATCGTGAGTCTGTGATTGCTTGATGATCCAGTTGCGTACATTTCGTTTAAGAGTGCTTCTCACCAATCAGCAATTACCTCGTAGCTTGTGTATGTATGCTAGCCCAATGGATGCAGATAGAAGCTTGCCTAGCATGACTTATTTTGTTCCCACGGTTCCTTGATTATGATCACGGAGGTCGGTGGATTGTTCTAATGCTTCCACCTGAAAACACATCCGTTTTGAGTCTGTGCTTCATAGTTTTGTGCATTAGGTCATGTTGCCGGGAAAGCGGAAAATTGGCTTTATTTGACGATGGGATTCATAGGGTGCTGCAAGCAGTATATCATTTTGGCACTATTCCGTATTTTTGTTCTGCGTGCATAGTACCTGTTTCTAAATGAGTGTAGCTGAACTGCAATGCGACCTATCATTAATAGTTTTAGCCTATAGAGGTGTTGTAGGTATATCTCGTGTGCAAACGGTCTAGAAGAAAGCACATACTTTCGCACAGCAACTCTAAAAAAATCCCTCTAATCTGAATAACAAATTTGAATAACAAGCACGGAATGCACGGTACTGTATCAGCTCAAGCGCACACAAATATGGTTTTTTTAAACAATACGTGTGGAAGTCAAGTCGTCAAATTCAACTTTATCTACCATTATGGGTGCATTTTCAGCGCTTTGAAACCAACACTGCGGAACATACTACAACGAAACAACAACGAGGAAAAAATTTTGACAGGAATAAACGAACACGTGCATCTTTACTCAAGCATATGGTCCTGTTGGGTCGATTAGTAAACGTGATAGAGCAGCGAGCAATAAAATTTAACTGATGGACATGACGTTTTAAGGCAGTCCTGGGAAGATAACACGGGAACAGTATAGCCAGTGAGAGAGAACATATGCAATTACAAACCTAAGAATTACAGTGTTGGGATGGAATAACCATGTAAGTCTGAAGAAGTAAGACGTGACTTATCTAACTTTTTTAATGTTTCGAGAGTATGTGTAGACTAAGAGAAATACTGAGATAGAAAATGTCCGAGATAGTTAACGGTAGATGTGCAAGGCATCCTTTGGTCATCCACGGTTGTAGGAGGAGTGATAAGAACAAGGGACTGTGGTCCGTTGGGATGCGGAAAACAGAACGTTAAGTCACAACACTTGGAAGGGTTAATGGAGAAAGATCGAGAGCTAGACCAAGTAGTGAGTTCGTCTAATCCTCCTTGGAGTTCCGAAGAGTCCTCGATGAATGGAATTATGCAAGCAAGAACTACCTGCGCAGCATACTTAAAACATATGAAGTCTGATGGAATAAGGAGACCTTCAAAGTAGACTGAGAATAGAAAGGAGGGTAGAATAGCATTCTTCAAAACACCAAATTTGGCTGGAAGTGCAGAACACCGTTGGTTGCACAGTTGCGCGAAGTGGGTGCAAGTTATGAAGTAATCACGCATCACACCAGGAACATATTTGGGCGTGCCATTTTCCGACAAACTGCTGAGCAATAATGATCTGTCGAGGCTCCCAAAGGCGTTGGTATGATCAAGAAATGGGAGTCGAACGCTCTTCTATCTATTATCCAACACGAACGCAATAGAAGGCACCAGTTGCAAACGACATCTAATGTAGAGCGCTCTGGTTTATAGGCAATCTGAATGCAATTATCAGTATGATTACCTGGGTAAATGTGGCATCTGTATGTTTTCGAATACCTTTAGCGTCACGAACGTGCATGCGATTAGCCGACATTTCCAAAATCCGTTTCTAGGCACTGATATCTTTCTGGCTGATTTTCGAATCTCGGGGACAGTTCCACTTCTTAAGCACCAATTCGACATCTCTGTCAATGGTCTTGTTAAAACATTTGCGCGTTCTTTCTGAGCGACTGTTGATACAGCATCCGGTCCACTGGTCTTGTTTGGATTCATCCTTGTGAGCTCCCTGTAAATGCTTGCGGTAGCAACTAAAGTAGAAGGTTCAGGCAGGGTGTGTGTTAAATGAGGGGAAGGGGAATGTCACTCGGATTTTATCTACATTATCCGTGATGAGTGTTACGAAAGAATCCTTTCCGGAAAGTTGGTCAGGATATTTGTAGTTGTCTAAAGCGGTCCTTCATTATTCTTTTGATCGTTTTCCTGCGACGGTCTGAACTCGACAAGAGGTGATTTTCGCACATTGACTAGAAAGTCAATCAAATACACAAGAGAGTAGGACAACATTGGTAACTATGGATTTGATTCACTTCAAAAAGTGTAAAATACTTCAAGAAAACACAAAAGATCGACAGTGCAGAGGGTAAAATATTATTTCGATTGTAACAACGACGGCCGAGTTGGAAGACCCCGCGAAGTCGAAAGTCAATTCAGTAGCCTTGGCTGCAATTCCACAGAAGCGGCCTTCCACTGATTGGATGAAAAGGACCTGAAACATTTCTAGCGCAGTGAGGCAATTAGCTGTGTGAAGCTACACTACAAATAGATGAATAATCTAAGCTTGATAATGCGATGTTTCCTATGTGGTCACACGGTAGCGGAGAAGGCATGTAGCTAATTTCCTTAAATGCGGAGTCTCAGTAAATAGTGCACTTAAGCTAACTTGTCCAAGTTTTGTAGTTGGGATCCCAAAATTGTCAGTGTCATTAAGTGGCATTTGGGTCAAAAAGTAAGTAGCAAACGTGCGATTCTCTGTCCAGATGACTTCGGTAGAGGACATGGTCAGGAATTTGCTGTTCGCGGTGCATCAGCTACATAATATTCGAGTGCAAAAGAGTAAATCATATGTCGCGCTAGAGCAAAATATCGATCAAGGCTTGTGTCAATATGTGTGTCGTGTATACTTGGTCTGCTAATGGCAGAATTGCTTTAAAAACCTGTGACGTAGATGTGCAATTTTAGAGACCACATTAATCCGTCATCAGCAATAGTGCTGAGTTTATTAGTTTACATTCGTCTTCATAAAAGAACTGCAAGCAATTGATGATTCTTCGAGGCACCTTCTAAACTAGCCAGTCCTCCAAATATTATTTCCTGCATAAAAACACTCTGTGGGATCCTTGTATTCTATGTCCAACCCTGCCTTCTGCAATGTTCTTGACTTGCTTTAAAGTCCATATCGAAATTAGGTTACAAATCATGACGGACGGTAGCTGTCCTCCATGGCTGGATGGCATAAACTCCTTACTTGCAGCACACGCTGTTACTGATCATGGGTTGGAATCCTAACCGAGCGGATGGATATGCACCAGAGACAAATACCATGGGAAGAACTGGGCTACAAGGGCTTTGAGGACTAAGAGGAACATGTGATTTGAAAGTTCTTGCGAAGCATTAAAATCACTTCCTCATTGCGACAGCAGTGTCAAACTATAGCCAACAGGAGGATCAACCAAGCGATCCAGATAGCCAATGGTGGACGCGGGTCACTGATTTGGTTGCTGGACATAGATTGGCGGGCATTAAAGTAAGTTAATCATCGTTTGTTTAACTGAGTCAAATGAAGTACCTCATTGACTCAAAAGCTTCGTTAGTTATAGTATAGGATAGACGTATAGTATAGGGGTGAACTCGTAACTTAAATCTTGAGGTATAGTTTGTTAAGCTTGCTACAATTTTTCTGGATTTGTCTTTGCCCAATAAGCGCTTGTCCCTGAAGCAGTGTTTTGCAACAAGGTTTCAGGGAAGGCAAAGAGGATCCCCACCAAACGGCGCTCGGATGCTCTTCGGATCATCAGCGTCTATTCAGAAGCCAGCCCACTGAACATGGATGAACGGAATTTGTCAAGTATTTAGCGTTTATGGGGGAGCAAGTGGCTCGATCTCTGCCTATTAGTACGTTTGGACAAGAAAACGATGACGCATCGCTTGGTCATATTTCGACACTTAACGGTGGATGACGAGCGTCATGTTCCAGAGGCACTGCACTATGACAATGACGAAGATCTAATAATTTGGAGACGGGCTTTGAGAATTTCAGTGAGTTTTGTGAAGGTCAAATTAACGAGACCTACCAATGCTATCCTTTCTTTTCGCATAGCAGTGGCCCAAACGAATGATTCGACGTGTACATCCCTGCATTGAAGATATTGTCCCAATTCTGCAATTGTCATAAATGTATGGATGACAGTCTCATAAGCGATCGAGTCGCTCTGGGAATCAATGATGAAAGTACGACCACGCAACTTATTGCCCCAGCAGTGCATCAATCTCGGCAACATGGAGTCCTCGACCACCTATCAATTCAAACAAATGAAACTCACAACTGATGCAGAATTGTTTGCTGTTTCCCGTGGCGAAGCAAAGAAAGCTACTAACGAAAGACAAAACAACTGTAACTTTTGCGCCGCGCGACACCCGAGCTCTCGTCAACGGTGTCGGGCTGGGGACGGAAATGCACCAAATGTGGAAAAAGAAATCAATTTGCTCGTTGCTATTAATCAACCAATATGAGTGCTGTCGTTGGTGACAAGTAGCCCGCCGATGCAGAACATTCAATTGGCAACGTGTTTTATAGCATGCCGTAAAAAGGTGTCTGCGCAAGTCTCTTGATCGGAGGCAACATCGTACAATTTCAGTAAGAGTAGGGAGCTCCTGTCAACATTCTAGCAAGGTAGCACTGTCCCGGAGTGTGCGTTCAATCCCATCAAGATTGCCTGCGTATGTGGAATGGTTCCAGAGTTATTCCGAAGAGCCTAACTACAATCGATGTGGTTAACCAAAGGGATGGAGCCTCATATCGACTGGAGTATTTGGTCATGGATGAGGAGCTCACAAAATACTCGGCATTGATTGGATCCAGTCTCGTGGTTTTGTTATTTTTCTTCATGATCGTTTGGTGTATTCTTGCCATGCAAAAGTCCTTATTAGTGCCCAGTATCCGTCTGTGTCGGCCTGGGAAGCAGCATAACTGTTGGTGAGCTGTTGGAAACGAGATTTCGATGCATATCTCAAGAGCTCGTCTCGCCTTCTCCAGGTTGAGGCTTTTATGGCGCCACCGTAACATTCGTCTCTTTATCAAAGGACGGTTTTATAGTGGTACTGTCCGCGCTGTACTGTTGTACTGTTGGAAGACTTGGCCTGTTCGTACCGAGGACCTACGTCGATTGTCTGCCTTCGAGAACCGTTGCTTGCAGTCCATCGCCCGTGTG